TTTTTTCTTTACCGGTTTGGAAGTTACACATTTTAAAGTTACAGATCCTGGTTTTGGTCTTTGTTATCCTTAACTCTTAAAAATACATAACTAATTTTATATTGATCTAACAAGTCTCAAGTTAATATTTCTATCCATCTTCCAGAGAAGTATTACCATTGACGTATTTTTCTGTTTGCTTAGGGGAAAAAAATTCAATTTCCATGGCTTGCATGTTGCTATGATGCTGGAAGCTATGCTACTAGAATTTCAAGTACTAGCAGGGTCACCCATGGTAGACAGGTTTTAGTGAAGCCTTCAGACTAAGACAAACTAGGAAGAAAGACCTGGCAATCTACTTCTGAAAATTAGCCATTGAAAAACCTGTGGATCACAAAAGAACATCGTTTGATATAGTGCTGGAAGATGAGACCCCTAAGTGGAAGACATTCAAAACATACAGTGGCCACAACAGACTACAGCATACCAGTGATCATGAAGAATGTGCAGGGCCAGGCAACATTTCATTCTGTTGAACATGGAGCCACCATGAATCAGAGTCAACTAGACAACAATTAACATCAGTATAATCCACAGGGGGGGAGAAAAAAAATCTTGAGTTATTTAGTAATTTCACTATTGCATAGTTGGATATTACTATATTCCAAATGCACTGCTGTCAATACTGACTCATAGCTCCCCTCTAGGGCACAGAACTGTAGGACTGCCCTATAGTTTCCAAAGCTGTAAATTTTTATGGAAGCAGACTGCCACATCTTTCTCCCACAGAGTGGTTAGTGGGTTTCAACCACCAGCCTTTTAGTTCACAGCTGAGCATTTTAACCACTGTGCCACCAGGGCTTGTTACTATACTCACCAGATTATAATACATCAAACCTAGACTGGCTGTTGTTTTAATAAAACTAAAGAGGAAGAATGACAGAATGTTTTACTTTCATAAGGTACTATTAGAAAGCAACAGCTGTAGAATTACTTGATAAAGTGCTCAAGATGAAATACAAACCAAGTAAGAGTACAAAAAATATGTATGCATGTATACTGGAGACACAGAAAATTAAAATTAAAATATAAAGATGAGCAAATTCTAATGTTAAGTCAGTGATGTTTGAAAAAATACCAAGATTACTGAAAGTAAAACCAAGTGCAATAAGCCACAGCATTTGATTTTTAATAGCCCATAAAGAATACATTTGCTTTTGTCACTATACAGATCCCCACTAGCAGACCTACGATTAAAGCTGAAGTAGAAATACAGATCCCTCTCTATTACCACCTTTTCAACTGTGTCCTTTGTACTATTTTTCTAGGGAAAAGCTGGAGTCCAATTTTATGTTCAGTATGCAATATAATCAGGCCAAAATGTGTGGATTTAATTGTGAGGACTACAATGAATGACATACGCATCTCAGAAATAGTATTTCTGCTACAGTGTAGAAAGTGAGGAAGGGCTAGAGAAATGAAGACTGGAGAAAACATATAGGTTAGGAGGCAGTTTTACCAAGTCACATGGAATATGACAACAGAGAAGCAATAAGGTGAAGAAAAGTAAATAAAGTTATTAGAAAGGTAACCTTGGTCATGGTCCGATAGAGCCTGGTGGAACCACTGAGACTATAGCCCCTAGATGCCCTTCAGGTCTGGAATTGAACCCACACCTGTGGTTTCCAGCCAAACAAAATACAGGCATGTGAGCTAACATTTACCTCAAGTAGACACATGCCTTGGAGAGAACAATCATGGGAGAAAGAAGGGCTGCTTATGCACAAGGAGACAGCTCAGGGGGCAGGACTGTATGAAGGGATGGACACTGGGAAGAGGGAACTATGGAGAGGAAGTGGGAGGGGAGCTGTTGCATTGTGGTAAACTGTGGTCAATGACATGAGACAAAGTGCATGTGAACTGCTGTATGGAAGTGAATTTGCTCTGTAAATCTTCACCCAAATCACAATAAAAATAAATAAATAAATATTTTTTTAAAAAAAAAAGGTAACCTTGGTCAAATGTGGTTACTAAGGTTATTGAGGAGTAAGAAGTTGAAAATGATTCCTTGGTTTCTGGCCTGAATAGGAAAACTAAGTACCTTAGATGCAGTCCCTGAGCTAGTGAATATGAGAGGAGAGACTGTGAGCAGGAAACTGGATAGAAAAATGTCAGCTGTTTTGGAACCAGCCAATAAAGATGTTATTCCAAAATATGTGTATGTAAATGAGGTCTAAGGTCATTTAAGATATGAAGTCACTAGAGGTGGTAGGTTCACAGCTATGAATTCAAAAATAGTTCTAGACCAAACAAATCCTCTCATGGTGCTGCTAGTAATATATCAAGTATTCTTTATCCACCTGAAGTCCATTAAAAAGGTTAAAGATTTTTTCAACAGTCTGGTTAAATAGCTAGCAGATTCCAAATTATACACAGAAATGATCCAGGGTGATTTGTTTTAAATGGTAAGCCAAAAGGGTATAATGATGTATTTGTTCATCATTATCCCTTAAATACAGAGGTTCTTTAGCATCTTCAAATTGATTTAGAAATAAAAGACAATTTAGAGTAGGTAAGGTCTCTAGGTGGCGCAAACCGTTTGTCCTCAACTGCTAAGCTAACGGTTGGAGTTTGAACCCACTCAGCAGTACCATGGAAGAAAAGTCCTGGTGATCTGCATCGGTTTAGAGCCAAGCAAACCCTATGGAGCAGTTCTAGTCTTTAATACATGGAAGTGCCAAAAGTCAGAACTGACCAATCGCATTCAAGACAAGAAACGGAAGCATTCTTCAGGCACCACACAAATTAAACACCTATCATCATCATAGTGTCTTTTCTCAACTCAGAATGTATGAACCCCAAAGCACAATTTCCTTACAGTGAAAACAAGTGATCTTTGGAGTGATAAAAATGTTCTAAAATGTGTAATGACTGCCTAACTCTATGACTATACTAAAAACCACTGCACACTTTGAGTGAATTGTATAGTGAGATGATAAATTTTATGTAAACTTGCCTAGCCTAAGGTACCCAATTGTTCGGTTAAACACTAGTTTAGATGCTACTAGGAAGTTATTTGCATGTGATTAACATTTAAATCAGTTGACTTTAAGTAAAGGTTACAAGGATGGGCTCAGGTATAGCAAGGACTGTGATGCTGGCACAGGACTGGGCAGTGCTTCATTCTGTTATATGTAGGGTCACCATGAGTCAGAGGCGACTCGACGGCACCTAATACCTAAATATTTAATGCCAGCTATGCTTCAGGTTTTG